AATAAACTTCCATTCTTAATTTTATGCAACTTCCATTTTGTATTTTTATTCCACTTCCATTTTTATTCAATTTCCTTTTCTATAAATTTTTTTTTATTTAATTTCCAAATAGATCGTTAAGGTGTAGTAGTTTCTTGAATGAACTTTTAGTTTTAATTTTATGCAACTTCCATTTTTATTTTTATTCAACTTCGATTTTTATTCAATTTTCTTTTCTATTCAATTTCCTTTTTTTCTGTAATATCCAAATAGATCGTTACGGTATAGTGGTTTCTTGAATAGACTTCCATTTTTAATTTTATACAACTTCTATTTTTGTTTGTATTCAACTTCCATTTTTATTCAATTTCATTTTCTATTCCTTTTCTTTTTTTTATTTAAGTGCCAAATAGATCGTTATGGTTTGGTGGTATCTTGAGTGAACTTCCATTTTTAATTTTATGAAACTTTCATTTTTATTTTTTTTCCATTTCCATTTTTATTCAATTTTCTTTTTCATTTAATTTCCAAATAAATCGTTAAGGGATAGTGGTTTCTTGAATGAACTTCCGTGTTTCATTTTATGCAGTTTCCATTTCTATTTTTATTCAACTTGTATTTTTATTCAATTTCCATCTCCATTCAATTTCCTTTTTCATTTAATTTCCTAAGAAATCGTTATGGTGTAGTGGTTTCTTAAATGAACTTCAACGTTTAATTTTATGCAGTTTCCATTCCTATTTTTATTCAACTTCTATTTTTATTCAATTTCCATCTCCATTCAATTTCCTTTTTATATTTTATTTCCAAATACATCGTTAAGGTGTAGTGGTTTCTTGAATGAACTTCCGTGTTTAATTTTATGCAGTTTCCCTTTCTATTTTTGTTCAACTTCAATTTTTATTCAATTTCCATTTTTATTTCATTTCCAAATAGATCGTTAACATGTAGTGGTTTCTTGAATGAACTTCCATTCTTAATTTTATGCGACTTCCATTTTTATTTTTATTCCACTTCCATTTTTATTCAATTTCATTTTCTAAACAATTTCCATTTTTATTTAGTTTTCGAATATATCGTTAAGGTGTAGTGGTTTCTTGAATGAACTTCCACGTTTAATTTTATGCCGTTTTCATTTCTATTTTTATTCAACTTCTATTTTTATTCTATTTCCTTTTCTATTCAATTTCCTTTTTTATTTAATTTTCAAATAGATCGTTAAGGTATAGTGGTTTCTTGAATGAACTACCATGTTTAATTTTATGCAGTTTCCATTTGTATTTTTATTCAACTTCCATCTTCATTCAATTTGCATTTTTATTTAATTTCCAAATAGATCGTTAAGGTGTAGAGGTTTCTTGAATGAACTTCAATTCTTAATTTTTTGCAACTTCCATTTTTATTTTTATTCCACTTCCATTTTTATTCAATTTTATTTTCTATTCAATTTCCATTTTTATTTAATTTCCAAATAAATCGTTAAGGTGTAGTGGTTTCTTGAATGAACTTCCACTCTGAATTTTATGCAACTTCCATTTTTTATTTTTATTCCACTTCTATTTTTATTTAATTTCCTTTTCTATTCAATTTCCTTTTTTATTTACTTTCCAAAGAGATCGTTAAGGTATAGTGGTTTCTTGAATGAACCTCCATGTTTAATTTTATGAAGTTTCCATTTCTATTTTTATTCAACTTCCATTTTCATTTAATTTCCACAACTATTCAATTTCATTTTTTATTTAATTTCCAAATAGATCGTTAAGGTGTAGTG